GATCATCTTTAGGCATATACATACATATTCATTTTATTCCTTAACTTCAGGTTCTCACTTATTTCATGAAAAGAGACAATTTTTCCTTGTGAGGATCACCACATTCTAGAATGAGCTCGCCTCTGCATGCTAACTTAACCTATAAATTGATCTTATACATATATCATCAAGGACTGCACACCCATACACAACCTACTTTGTCACTTGAAACTAAAAATTAATTAAATAGAATATGAGTGGTGAGAATAAAAATCTATAAATTTGAAATTATAAAAAAAATATTTTGCATGTCTTAAGACATTTGCATATTAGTCATATTTTAAGCCTCTTGATTTTAAAATCTAATTTCGAAACTTACTTTCCTAGTAAATAATAACCTATCCTACTTTACATTTCATGAGACTGTTCATGCATGATTTTACGATGTTAAGTGGGTTTAGTTGACAGCTCTATCCAGACAGGTTTGTAAGTCTAATAGAGTCGAGCTTGCCCGATCCTTTATGAGATCAAGTTCTAAATTCATGTTTATGGCATTCTCTTTGTTATATTTGGTTTCGAGGTTTTACTTTTAGTATATCTCACCTTTATTCTTGGAATTTTGAGGCCGTTCTTCTTGGTATGATATAAGTACTTACTTCCTAGACTTTCCTATGATTGGATATCATAAAACATAAGTTCTAAAGTTTGTAATAAAATTTCAATTCAAATATTAAATCTTTTTATCTTAAAATCAATAAAGCCAAATAATAGGATAATTGAAGTATCATTGCACTTCTCAGTATCCAGACATTTCCTACTTCTCTTTTGAGTTTCTATAATTTTTCCGGTTTGAACTTTCCTATTTGAAATTTCAAATAAGCAATTGTGGAAATCAAACTTTAAAAATTTTTTAGGACATAACTTCTGGATTAATAGAGGGTTTCTTAAGATGTAATTAACTATCTGGGATTGACTTTATAGGAAGTTAGTAACCCATATTAATCTAAATTCTATTTAAACTTTTGGTTAGGTAGGGGAAAAATTTGTTGGTTTAAAATGCATACCCATCGAATATCAAATAAAATTCTTATTTGAATAATCAAATGCATCGTAATGTAGTTTATTTTTTTTCGAGATAATATATTATTTTTTATGTCATATTTGAATATACAATTAAATTAAAATATTTGAAATCTATGTTGACATGAAAATCAAACCAACACCCACTCTTGGTGCCTCATGACCACGTTCCTCTTCGAAATCCACTTCAATCGAAGCACTTCGACGTGATACAATCACGATTAGAGTCGCTGGGAAATCAAAGACGGGGTCATGACATACATAGATCTTTTAAACTTTCTTTTGTTTACTCTCTTGCGTGATCCAACCCGAAGCACTCGCTAAAACTCTCGCCTGTCCAATTCTGTGACACAATCGTGATTGGAGCCAGCAAAAAACGAACAACGGGATCAAAACATACAAAAATCTCCAAAATTTCCATATTTTCTGCCCCAGACCGAAGCGTTCACTACCTCTCCTTGTTGTCTCACGTGCCTCCCACTATGCTACCATGAAGACTAAGCTTGCTAGTTGTACTGCTGCTTATGATCCTTAGCCACACAATTTGTCCACTGTTTGTAAACCAAAACCATACCCCTTTTCCTATGTTCGCATGACCTACCAAAAGCCCAAGCCAAAACCAAAGCCTTTACAGGGAATTAAATACTTGTTCTAGGAAGCCCAAGTATCTATTCAGGAAATTAAGTACCGTTTAGGGAAAGTTAAGTGCATATTAAGAGAAACTCTTGCTTGTGTACTTTTTTACAGGTAAATTTAAGGACCGACAAGTATCTTAGATAGGTGGTTTAAAAGAATCTTTTGTCTGTCGGTCCTAGTTTCTCACGACACCGATCAATGAGTCTTTTAAATTATATTAACATACTGACACTATCTCCAATGCCCACTAAAAAGAGTAGACATCGAACGACTGCCAAAATTTTGAGTGATTTAGACTTGCAAATGATTTAAAATTTCGTGTTTTATAAAATTTTCAAAATGATTCAAAATTTTGAAATATTTAGACTTACAAAAATATTTAAAATTGTATTGCGAAGACTTGAAAAATATGTTCAAATTCAGGCATTTAAACTTGAAAATTGATTCGAACTTGGGCTCTTAGGCTTGAAAATTGATTCAAATATGAGTTTTTCAAATTTAGGCTCTTAGGCTTGAAAATTAATTCAAATTCGGGTTTTTAAGCTTCTACTCTTAGACTTAAAAATTGACTCAAATTTATGCATTTTGAAATTAGATAATAATTGTAGTTTAGGCTTTTAGGCTTGAATAATTTGGATTTATTAAAATTGAGCCAAATATTGAATATTTGCACTTGTAAAATGACTTAAACATATTAAGGGATAAGTTTAAGACATTGTTTTTTAAATGCTAAAATAAAGACTTAACACGTCAATTTCGCCATTGAATATGCAACTTCAGCTTGCAAGAAGATAAAAGGCGACTCTTTGGAAGCAAAAAATATAATTTTGGTAGTGATTCATTAATTCAATATCTACTAAAATTCTATTATTTTTAATGATTTCAAATTTCACAAAATTCAATGCTATGTTTCAATTCGAATAACATGCCTAAAAAATTGTGCAAAAACATGTTTATTAAATGGTTCAAATGCTCTTAAACCATGCCTATAAATCTAAATGACAAAGTATTGGCGTAATTAGTGAAGTTTAGATGATTTTAAGCCTCTCACTTGCATTTCAAGATATATCATAACTACAATACATTGTTTCAAAATGTATGTGTATAGTGCATTAGCAAAATCAATCTGTATGTGTTTCATCCAACTTAAAATTAATCACTCAAAATACGTAAAACATATCTCATCCACCCTCCATAATAGTTTGTAGGGGGTGAACATTTTTTGATTGATTTCAGTTTATAAAGAGCGAATGTCATATCAAGTGTTTCAATATATTTACACTAAAAGTAATTTCATGCTAGTAAGGACGTTATCCTAGTCCTCTTTCTGCGCGGTTTGACTAAAAGTTTCACAAAATTATCGGTTATGACCAACCCTTTGACTGGGTGGTTAGCACCAAATGATACTATTTTATTGCGTCACGACCATAACCAATATAATGACTTTCTACATTTGAGTTGTGAAATATAATGGTACAGTTAATTCATATAAATCTTTTTTGTTAGCTATGTTTGTCTTAAATTTGTCTCCCAAGAGGTTTGGCCTTAATTGAGCTTGACAAAGAGCGTTGCCTTGATGCCATGAACATTCTCCTCGCCTCAATTTGCTCTGTGGATGGACTTACGTATGACCTAGACCAAATGGTGGCTCACGTTGGTGTTGGAGTGGGTTGGAGGGCTTGAGAAGCTTCTATTTTGATCGAGGGAGATGTCTTGAGGCCTTGTGAAGCTTATGGAATAGAAGCTTCTCTAGCCCTCCAAGCCACTCCAACATTGCATAAGATTTCAAAAATAGAACACTAGACAAAATTTGAACCAATAAATAAGATTTAAAAAAGCAATTTCATGAGATATCCAAAATATGGAGAACAAATGAGAAAAAACATTGCATAAGCATTTTAAAATGCATAAAATTCATATACTTCATCAAAGATAAAGATTTTTCATGATTATGAATTACCAAAATGTAATTCTTCTTAAGCTTCCCAGATAAAAATAACAGTTTCAAAATATGTGATTTGTTCTTAATTAGAAGGCTTCATAATAATTTGAAAATGCTTTGTGGTATTACTTAAAACTTCATCAATTCAACCATAGTTTTATAAACACTACTCTGAAGAAGTGAAATAGAATGAGTTAATTCTTCCCCAATTTTCATTCTGAGAGAAATGATCTTCATTTCAAGCATAAAAAACGTATCATGATTAGTTCTTCCCCACTTTTTCTTTTGTTTCTCTTTTCTTTCTTTATTGATCATTGAAATTGCAATAAGTTCATTAAATATTTTTACAATACAATTTCTTTCTTGTATGCACAATTTCAATCACTCGCGTGACATCTAAAATCTTTATGTTCACAATAAGTTATGTTACAAGTTGAAGATCTTATCACAGGAAATATATTTAATTTGTTTTCTACTTTCGGTAAAGATTAGTTTGCTTTCAACGAAATTCACATGCTAATCAATATTAGATCATTACAAAATCTTAGACCAGAACATCTCAAATCAAGAACCAAGGAAATCCAAAGTAGTATAATCTTCCCGAATAAAAACTGAGTTATATCTTCGAATTTTGAAGACTTCCCAAACGTAATAATCTCAATCAGCATCAAATTTGAATCACATAACAACGCACACTATACATCAACGCTCAGCCTAAAAAACATCTCCCAAAATACATGGAAATGCCACTAAAAATCAAATAGAACAAAGTACCCATATTTTTTTTCAGATCAAAGCAAATCACCATGGTGCTGCGGGTACAGCGTTGAAGCGCTATGTACGGAAAAACCCCATATAAGGGAGGAGGCGCCGCCCCCTCCATACACCTCAGCAAACTTCACTGTTGAGCTTGATCCATAAAATTGAGAGCTTTGTGTCGACAATTGATCAATACAATCAGGCTATGTATATCTTTAGCTGACAGATTTTCCATGATTTGAGTGCTAAAAGGACTAAATTTTAAATTTATACTTGCAATACAAATAACTTGAGTTACATTAAAATATCATAATTATTAATTTTTAAAAAGTGAAATATATTAATGTTATATTAGAATTGTGTGATATTGTATATTAATCTTTCCATTCCTAAAATAATAGATTTTTGGTATCGTTGTCTGACTACAATCTGCCGTGAAGAATAAGAGCAGCTCTTCATTATCGCACTGCTTGTGTTAAGTACAGCCGAGGAACTTTGATACAACAAGCTATGATCAATAAATGTCATCTGAGAAATTTATAAAATATATTCATTTTTTCTTTTTCCTATTTGACCCTTAATATATTATATTTCATATTTTTTTCCTTAGGCCGGTGATAAGATGTCGTGGCGGATCATCATAGCCGGCGCAACGCTGGCGGTTCTGCTCTCTCTGGTGGTCCACGTAGCTCTTCACTCTCCCATCTCCCCGCTGCCTTTGGCTCTACCTTCTTCTAGTTTCCAGCCCAACAATCTCCTCAAGGTATGCTTCTGCCATGGCTTTTCTTCAAGGAGATTATACAATTTTATTCCTTTTAAAATAGTGTTTTGTTAAAAATATTCCCACTTTTATCAAATTTATATGATTATGAATTATTTAAGGCAAATTTTTAAAAGTTATTTTTAAAAAATTATTTATTAAAAGAATAATTTAAAAATATATTTTAAAAAGTGCTTGTCACATATAATGGGTGGTTAAATCCCTCTAAGTCACTCGATTAATTGGTGATTATTATGTGATTGGATGCTTGGCTCATCATAATTTCTTTTAATTTTAATGAGCTTAATTTAACTAGATATTTAATAATTTTTTTAGAAAAGATTTATCTTAAAATTTAAAAGTTTCTAAATTTTTATTAGATTTATTTGGACATCCAATAAATTATTTTTGAAAAATATTTTATAATTTTATGTTAAAGACTTTTCTTTCATTATAAATCTTTTAAATTTGATATTCAATTTAAAATATTATAAACTACTTTTCTTTCTATATTTCTTACATATTTTACAAAAGTTTGTTTAATATTTTTAAATCATGGGTTTTAAAGAATTTTATTATTTTATTAATTTTTCGTGCATTTAAAGTATTGCTAGGATAAATATTTTCTTAAAACTATTTTGATATTTTATTTAAAGATTTTCTTAAAAATAATTTATAATTTTTTTTGATGTGTTTAGTATTTTAAATTTTAAAAGTATATTAAGAAGTTTTCTATAAATCATTTATACTTTCTATAAGTTTTTAAATCTATTTTTCCAAATAGTAATTTATTTAATAATAATTACAATAGATAAAAAATAAAATTTATATCATATTTATAAAAAATAAGTTAAACAAATTAAAAAATACGGTTCGACTAATATTTTGGCTTTTTTTAGTATTTTATTTTTATTTTATTTTCTTATATATTCACTCTGTTAATTTATATTAAAAAATCATTCTGCACATTTTTATGTAATTAAATAAAATATAAATATATATAAAAGAGAATTTGTTTTATAATAATTATAATCAATAAAGAACATAAATTTTAAATTAGTAATTTATTCTAAAGTACTATTTTTCAAATTAGTAATTTTATTTTATAATTATTATGATAGATAATAAAAATTCTACACCATATTTACTATAAAATGAGCTACACAAATTAAATATTTGTCTTAAATAAATAATTTGATTTTAAATTTTTAATTCTAATTTAATTATATAATCATTTTAAAATTTATAATGACCGTGATTTTTTACACTTTTATTTAAAAAATAAAATATAAAAAATGTTTAAAATAGTTATAAAATTAACAATAAAAGTTATTGCAATTAGTTACCGGATTAGTTATGAAAGCTATTACTAATGTTTTACTAAAATATATAATTTAAAAAATATAAATGTAAACTATGAAAAATTAAAAATTGTGGTCTCAAAATATTAAAAAAATACAATTTCAAAATATTGCTAAAAATAATCCTGAATAAAATTCTCTTATAAAATTCTGAACACTATCCTAGTCCTAGTGATGTTAAAAATTTATAAATTATGGCAAAAATATAATTTTCTCTAAAAAGATAAAATTAATAATTATTAATCAAATTGATTTCAAATATTGTCTAAATTAAGGATTAAATTTTAAAATTAGAAAATAGAAAATATTTAAAATAAAATTTAATAAAATAGTTTAAATAAATTCTTTTAGTAAAATTTCAAAATAAATTTAATAAGAATTCTTTATTTTTATAAATTTGTGAATTTTTAAAATTTAATACGAATAATGTTTAATAAAGTTCTAAATAAGTTAAAAAAATAGAACAAAAAATATATTTCTATGTGGCCAGCTCAAACCATAATCCCCCTTTTACTTTGTTGAGTGGTTAGTTTTCATTCACTTGGGCGTCTAGCTCCTTTATATACCCTTTTATAGATTTTTTTGCAACTACCTTTTAAAAGTTTATCGAAGTGCTTATTGTGTCTAGTCTGTAGCTGTAAAATAAATAAATGAAATGTTTAATATTGAGTATTTGATAAATTGATACTGTTATCAAAGTTTACAACAATTATATATGCCTACAAAAAATGAAGAGTTGTCAAAACTTTATTATAAATTTATTGAAATTAATGTTTGGATGCGCTTTGACTGAAAAGTTATCTCAATTAAAATGCATTAAATTTCATGCCTCGTCATGTGTACTTTTATATGGCACGTCACAAATTTTATATTTATAGTGCTATAGATTTAAATAGAAGTATTGATCTTTATTTACTAACATTTGATGTACCCCAACAATATATATATATATATATGTGTGTGTGTGTGTGTGTGTGTGTAATTGACTTACACATGCATAGCTTTTTTATATAATTTATTTTCCTGATATTTTCATGAAAATTTGGACATTATTAACATAGAAGTTAGATCAGTTTGATTGTGCTCATATTTCCGAGGATCATAAACTATATTGTTTTATATTTCTGAGGTTCACAAACTAAAGAGCTTTCTTTTTCTGTTCTTTAAGAGTGTGGAAAAAATAGGAGAAGGAATTCTCATCCTTCCAGAAGACACATGTTTGGGGAAAGATGGCAAGCTCTACACAGCTACAAGGGATGGCTGGATAAAGAGAATGCATTCCAACGGTACTTGGGAGAACTGGAAGATGATTGGTGGTTCTTCCCTACTTGGGATAACCCCATCCGTGGATGGAGATATTATTGTTTGTGATGCCGACCAGGTTTTGGACGGCAGCTCTACTCATTTTTATGTGCATTAACCATGGTTTAACTTCCAATAAAATAGAATTATTTATGTAGGGTTTACTAAAAGTTGGAGAGGGAGGCCTCACCGTTCTAGCAACCGAGGTGGATGGCACCAAGATATTGTACAGATTTCTTCCAAAACTCAAAAAATTTCTTTTCCCTTTGTTATTATAAACAATCTCCTGAAAAAGAACAACTTTGTTACAAAAGATTTGCAGATGATGCCATTGAAGCCTCAGATGGGAGCATTTATTTCAGCGACGCAAGTTCCAAATTTGAATTCCATGATTTTTTCCTGGACCTCCTTGAAGCTCGCTCAACTGGCCGTCTCCTAAAATATGACTCTTTGAAGAAGAGGACGTCAGTTGTTCTTTCCAACCTATCCTTTCCTAATGGCGTTGCTCTTTCACCGAATGAGGATTACTTGCTTTTATCTGAAACCTATAAGTATGCAATCACAGTCCACATTTCTGTTTTGGACATAATAAGAGAAAGCAACTAATGGTTTTCTGCTCCAGGTTTAGATGTCTTAAGTACTGGCTCAAAGGAGAACTGAAAGGAAGTACAGAGGTTTTCATTGATAATCTTCCAGGCGCGCCAGATAACATCAATCTTGCACCTGATGGGTCTTATTGGATTGCCTTAATTCAGGTATATTTAAATTTTTTTTTTCTTTTTTGCCTGTGGGTGTTTCGTAGCACCTTTTTAATAGGATCTACGTCAAAATTTAGCATAAATTTAGCCAAACATGATAAATAGGGAAGCTAAATCCAACACTCTGCCCTATCCAATTCTCTTTGTTCCTTTTCTTTTTTGATGTAAATCGTGATTTACTAAATTCGGCTGTTTGGTGGATTTAACTGGTTTAGTTTTGGAAGCAAACATGTTGAATCAATTTATGCCAAATACACCGTATAAATTTATTAGATTTACTCTTAACTGAACCAAAAACTATTCCGGATTTAACAACAACTAGATTTGAAGAATCCGGATTTACTAAGCCCTGCTCGCAGCCAAACACTCTTCCTTC